TCATTGTTCACCAAATGTATGTTTTCTATAAAAGTACTTAGCTGTTAGCATACATTCCGAAATAACCACAAGTTTAGTTAGAATAGATCACTCGGGAGCAACTTCAGAGTACCCGGCCACTTAATTTACATGTGCTGGTGTACTTTCAAGAACGAGGTATATAACAATAGTTGCTATTGTTATTCAATGAGATGCTAATAAGTGGCCGGGTATTCTGGAGTTCCTATTGATGCATGTGGCGGTGAACAAGAGAACAACCATTGAGTTCACTTTGTTCCTGAAGGGGTAAATTTTTTTAACAGTGATGTAATGTTAAGTCTCTCGTATCGGTTTTTGTGTACGGCTAAACGATTAAAAAGCCTAAATTCTGATAGTAATGCACTTGACAAGTGTCTGCAAATTCGTGGCTGCATGCGGAAGCGCTGGAAGATGGAAGCGCTGTGCTTAGACTACTCACATTTGGCAGAATAGGCAATTCTTACAACTGGATAAGGTCCATCATCTTGTTCAATAGGAGTGACATCTTTCCATTCCTCCCGATCACGGTAAAACACGAAATCCACCTCACAATAATCTTCATCGCCTGAACTTTCCGCCATCTTGTATTTTATTAGTACCAGTCTTTCGACTCTCTTTCGGTCAAAACGCACGTCTAAACAAGAGCGTGGTCATGATGAGATCAACAGGGGAGGTATGGGGTCTGTGCGCTCTTGTATGTTACGAATGGTATTTTCACAAAAGATGTTTCAAAACAGTGCGTAACAATGGTCTCTAGCTAGAAAAAAACAGAAACAAATAAAGTGATAAAATGGTTTTCAGTAGAAGCAAGGTAGTACAAATTTGTCGCGTCCAGACAAATCTCAAGGCGTCCCGTCCCGTCCCGTCCCATCGGACTCTGCCCGTGGTGATCGGAAGGGAACAAGAGTGCTTTTAGGTATGGACTGAAAGAATATTAGAAGATGTATTTTGCTAAAAGAGAAAAAATTCCTTGGAATATTCA